TGATGAGGAGGCAGAGAGGCTGCAGTTGGAGATTGACCAGGTGAGAGTGGGCTTTCCTCCCCCACCTCCCAGATCCCCACTGACACTGGAGAGTGAGGGGCTTTCTTGCCAACAACTTCTTTGCCCTTTGCCACAGAAAAAGGACACAGAGAATCGTGAGAACCAGCTCAAGAACGGCAGCTTTGGCTCACCAGGGAAGCAGGTGAGATGGCCTGGAGGGACTCAGGACTAGGTAGGGCCTTGGGAACTTCCAGTGACTCTAGCCTTCCTCTCTCTCTTGAATGCCCTCCCTCCCCTCCTCCGGTTCTGGAATCCTCCCATACAGTAACCGGAGTAAAATAAACCAGAAACTCAACTAACCTTAAGTTTGTGCAAGAAAGCCCAAGAGCCAAAGGTGGCAGTGCCTGCACAGATACCATCCAGGTGCCCAGGGTCTGTGGGCCGGACTGGCCCTTTGTGGAGGGCCACTTGGACCAGGTCTTGAGGATGTGCCCCTAAGGGGTTCCTCCCACTGCCTTTTGTTTTCTCCCGACTCTTGAGTCCAATTTCCCATGCGGTCCTCAGGACATTCATTTGGTTTTCCAGAGGTTCTGAACTGAGACTAGGGGATCTCCAACACAGAAAAAGAAATTGATAATTTGGCAGAAATTGATCATTTGGTTTTATTTTAGAATAATTCTGCTCAAGGCCACCCTGGTGGTGGTGCTGTCTGCTCCAGTCTGCTGGACTCTGTTCCCAGATCCCTCAGCTTGAATTAGGGGGCTCTTCTGGGTCTGTCTTTGACTGTCATTATCCCCTCATCATGTTTTTTGTCATATGGTGTAACCATCTGAGCTCCTCTTATGCAGAGATCAGAACCTGGAGTGGGCAGGGACCAGGTCTCTGTCATTTTGTGGCTGTTTGCCCAATGCCAGCCCTGGGCCTGGCCCAGGTGGGGGCTCAGTCTATGTCTGTCAAATCGCTGAACATCCCTGACCGTGAGCAGGAGGCTGAGGAGGACGAGGATGAGGAGGAAGATGAGAAAGACAAAGGGAAACTGAAGCCCAACCTAGGCAACGGCGCAGACCTGCCCAATTACCGCTGGACCCAGACCCTGTCAGAGCTGGACGTGAGTGGCAGGGCCAGGGATGGAGGTTAGGGAGCCTGTGTGGGGTCCTGGCAGCCTGCGGTGGCTACTCCTGACTGCCCCTGTCCCATGCAGCTGGTGGTGCCCTTCCGTGTGAACTTCCGGCTGAAGGGGAAGGATGTGGTGGTGGATGTGCAGCGGCGGCATCTCCGAGTGGGGCTGAAGGGGCAGCCGGCGATTGTCGACGGGGAGCTTTACAATGAGGTGAAAGTGGAGGAGAGCTCGTGGCTCATCGAGGATGGCAAGGTGGTGACGGTGCATCTGGAGAAGGTACTCGAGGCCTGCGCTGGGACCCAGCACTCCTGCCCCAGGTGGTGGTGAAGGACGAGGGTAGGGTATAAGTCCTACCTCTAGGAAGGGGTGGAGTCAGGACTGAAACAGTCTTTGGTACCAAAACCTTTCTCTCAATTAGGTTTCTATGTGTATTCAATTCAACAAACATTTGAACACCTGTGTGCTGGTACTGTTCTAAGTGTCAGAGAGAGAATAGTGAACAAATAAAATTGTGCCCTCAGGGGACCTATATTCTCTACCCCACTCCCTTCACAGGGAGAAGGGACACAGACACCAGTAAATGTAAGTCTTTGTACAGAGCAAAGCGTCCAAGGAAAGTGTCCATAGCATATGAAGCCCTCTCCCAGCCCTCTTGGCCTTTGCTTTCCCCTCACTCATCATCCTCACCCTTGCTGTTCCTAGGTTCCTAGGTGCAATGTCCTTCTGTTTTTTTAAAAAAATCTTGGGTACTGCTTGTCCTTTAAGGCCCATCTCTTTACCCTGGATGAATATCTCCTGTGCTTTATTCTTCCCATTATCATGCTGATTTATCACTGTTGTGTCCCCATGTCTATCTCCCCCAGCTACTGGATAGGGCAGGAACTGTCTCACTCATCTGGACCCCTGGTGTCCAGTACAGGCCTTCATGGGTCCCAAGTGCAGGATGTGGGTGGGCAAGAGTTTGGTTCTGCTCTTCTTCACAGATCAACAAGATGGAATGGTGGAGCCGCCTGGTGTCTGGTGACCCTGAGATCAATACCAAGAAGATCAATCCTGAGAACTCCAAGGTGAGCCCTGACTGGTTGGGAGAGCTGCAGCAGGGTGGTGAAAGGCCTGGGTGACCCCAGTGTTTCACTCATCCCTGTCACTGCCTATCCTCAGCTGTCAGACCTGGACAGTGAGACCCGCAGCATGGTGGAGAAGATGATGTACGACCAGAGACAGAAGTCGATGGGGCTGCCTACCTCTGACGAACAGAAGAAGCAGGAGATTCTGAAGAAGTGAGCATTTCAGAGATGGGGACACGGGGTGGACACCTGGAGGCCTGGGTGACGACAGTGAATGAATCACTGAGCTTGCTCAGGAGCTACCCTGCTCCCCTCCAGGGTGAGCCAGCCATGGTTATTATGGCTTTATGGCCTTGACTTGCCTATCCTAATCACCTGCTGAGGTCATCTTGAGGGCAAGGGAACTCTGGGTAGGAAGGAAGGGGTAACAAGTGATTGTTTTCACTCAGGAAAACATGGCCAGTGTTGGCATCTCCAACCTTGGAAGCCCTGGAGCCCCCACCCCTGCTTTCCCTCCAGGGTTCTAAAGAGATTACACCTGATTGAGAGACTGAGAGAGGAAAGTGTCCTGTTTAACCCTTTTCCTTTTTCTCTTTAGGTTCATGGATCAGCATCCAGAAATGGATTTTTCCAAGGCCAAATTCAATTAGCCTCTGTTTTCCTCCTGAACTCTAGGGGCTGAGCTCCTAACCATCCATCTTCCTTTCCCACCCTTCCCTGAAACTTGGGGGCCTCGAGGGCCTGGGCAAGCATGAGACTGGCCCAGACACACAGGTCCCAGGGCAGCATCGCAGAAGCGCTAGGGCCTTCTTCCTCCCAGCTACCCTACTGTTACACGTTAAAGTTATTTACCTGTCCTCCCTCTGGCCTTTCCCTGCAGTTCAGGCCTCTTGGATTGTTCCTAGGGGCTGAGGACTTGGCTTCTAGCCCAGATTTGACTTGCCTCTTTTTGGGCCTCAGTTTCTCCTCATTAAAGGGAGTATTAAAACAAGACTTGGTCAGTGTATGATTCTAATCATAACTGAGTTTTTCTGGCTACAGGGAACGTGTCAGATTCTCAAAGGGTCCCACGACCTAGCAGTCTTAAGACCAACTTGACTTGATTTTCATTTCAAAGAGAACGTCCACTGCCCTGGATTAACTTTGCCCCGTTGTTTCCCAGGTGGTAGAAGATCAGCAGAGAAGCTGGGGGCTCTGCCCAGCTGGGAGGAAGGGTGGGGGATTATCCAGGCTTGGGATCTGCTGTGTGTGGCAGGGACCCAACCAGGAAGACAGGGTAGAGTCCATAGGCCCCTCTGTGTCGCTAACTGGACCTCTGCAGGTTTTAGGTCTCAGAACTAGCCTCTGGGACAGGCCTGGGCAGCCAAGCTGAGGTGTCGCCCTCTGCCTGGATGCTGTCCCACTTTGGCTTGAGAGGTCATAGCAAAATGTCAAGGTTGACCTTCCCAGAGTTCTTTGTTTATGGGTGACCCATGAATTTTCGGGAACACATGTCCTTTGTGTGGGAACACATGTCCTTTGTGTGGGAAATTTCAGAAGAGCTTGTTGAAGACTTGAGAGGAGGTATGGTACCTACTTTGTCTGTTTCCTAAACTTCATAAACCTTTTTTCCTGAGGATACCAAAATGTTTCCCAAGGCTGTTTGGAAAAAGCTGCTCTAGGGCTGAGGCTGGGTGGCGCACTCCTACTCTGCAGTTGTAGCCCTGGGCTCTAGCATCCTGTGGTCATTTGTAATCTTGTAGAGGCCTTGACCTGGTGAGACCTTGCAGCCTAAAGGGCTCATTTAATGCCAGAGCTGGAGGTACAGCAGGGCCCTGTGGTCAAAGCTCCCAGGGAATATCCTCTGTATGATAGGAAACTGGGTAAGTTCAATTTGTCTAGTTATCACTTTTCAAAGGCTGCCCTTGGGGCAATGAAAAGGGTTACAGGTGAAGTGGGGATGAGGGATCCTGAATACTTTCAGCTTGTTCTCAAGAATAAGCCCATGGGCTGCCCTGGCCTCCCTGCCAGTAGAGGATTCTAGTAACTAGTCCTTTGTATGGAAGAGCTATGTGGGATCCTCCCAAGGCCGGGTGGGCTCCAGTTCCCAAACAAGGGAGCCCTGGTGCTGCCCCCAGGATGCTAGCTTGCCAGCTTGTGGGCAAAATTGCCAGGTTCCAGGTTCCAAGCCACAGGTATCGGTTGGCTGCCTGAGCGAGTTCCTTGGCTTTAGAATCTCTTCTGTGAAAGGATGATGACCCTGTCACCCCATGGTTGGTGAGAAAGTCAAGAAGAGAATTTTTTCAGCACCAGGATGATGAGTGTAAAAGAGTAGCAGGACTGATGGGGGGTGGGGGCAGGGATTTGGGAGAATTAAAGTGATGGCCAGAGGCAGGCCAGCCTGCAGGTGGTGGACATGACGAGTCCAGATAGTCCTGCCTAGAACAGTCTCAGCAGTGACAGAAACCACATGCTAACTCGTTCTCGGATGCAGACAGTGTGCTGCTTTTCTTCTGGAACTCGGTGGCCCTGAGAGGTGGGCATTATTGCTGCCGAACAGATAAGGCAACTCAGGAAGTGGGCAAGTAAAGTTCCTTCTCATTTCAACCCCATACATTGAACCTGGCTGGGGCAGCAGTCAGGACAGAAAGGACAGTGTCATAGGTGAGATGACCAGGCATATGTCTGTTACCATTGTACTTGCAACTACGGTCATGTTAGCATGTATAACATCAGCCAGAAATCAGACAAACTGTTCCAAGTAGGTCATCTCATGAGTGGGCACTGCCCACAGAATTCTATACAGAGGCCCTACTTATCCCACAACCCAACATGCTTCTTTCAGCTGCTGGGGCCCCCCAGGGAGGGAGAAGTTTGCATGATTGGTTAGGATGGCATGTTATGAGGGTAGAGTCAGGATTCAATCCTAGAAGGTAACTTAAACATTGCTTTCTGACACAGGCTACTTGAAGGCCATAGGGAGGAAGGAACAGGCCAAGCAGGGGTCAGGCCAGCTGGAGATGCAGTAGGGATGTGGACACCATGGCCCAGTGAAATGCAAGTGGTCCAAGAACCAGTCAGCCAAGGCAGAAGGAGCCAGAGTGGGCACTGCTTCTGGGCTCATGCCCAGACTTGCCCAAAGGAGGTCCTGGTCTCCCTTTTCATTGTGTAAGCTGTGCTTCTCCCAGAAGGGGCTGCGGCTGCTGGGCCCAGTAGGGATTAGCAGTACACTTGGAGCAGGGGTGCCCCTGACGAGTCTGTGTCCGTGCCCTGGAAGGACGAGTCGTGGCTGGCTGGGTACCCTGGGGGGTAAGGGAGAGGAGGAAATAGGCTCAGAGAAAGGAAAGAACTTATCCAGGTCCACAGCCAGGGATAAACCTGCTGAGGAGAGCAAGACTTGAGACTGGGTCAGGCAGATCCTGGCTGTGTGACCCACCCAGCTCCTTGACCTCTCTGAGCCTCAGCCTCCCCCCTCTGTGAAAGAGTAATGACCCCACACCCAGGGACTGTTGAAGGTCGAGATAGGACAAACTACACAGGATGCCCTTTTAGCACTGGACTCTCTGCTTTCTACCCCCCCCAGTCTGAGCTTGTTGTTGTTATGTGCTATGGAGTTAGATCCGACTCATAGTGACCCCTCCTTGGGTTTCTGAGGCAGTATCACTATGGAAGTAGATTGCCCCATCTTCCTTCCGAGGAGTTACTGGTGGATTTGAACCGCCAGCCCTCTGGTTAGCAGTCCAGTGCCTTAGGCACTACGCCACCAGAGCTCCCAAGTTGATTTTTCCAGTATGCCAGTCCTGGGCACCTGGTCCCTGCTGGCTCAGGGATGTTGTTGTTATCTGCCGTCGAGTCGGCCCCAACTCATAGCGACCCCTCCTTGGGTTTCCAAGGCAGTATCACTACGGAAGTAGGATTGCCCAACCTTCCTTCCCCCCTCCCAAATGAATTGCTTTATGCCAGCTTGCGGCATTGGGAGGGAATCATTAGTCCCCTCCATCCCTTTCAGTTCCCATCTTCACCCACCCCAGGAGGAAGCTGGGAGAGGGGCATGTGGGGGCCCCTAGGGCAGTTCCCCCCGCCTCTCCACACTCCTCATCAGGCCAGGACCAGACCTGCGGCTCCATAAGGCCTCAGCTTCCTGGCAATGGCGTCTGCGGTCGTCTCCTGGGAGATCTGCACTGTCAGTTCTAGGGAAGGAACATGAGGAGGCAATAGTCAATATGACTTCCTTTCAACCCCACCCCTCCACCCTGCCCCCAACCCAATGAGGGAGGGGCCACTCACCCCTGGGCAGGGCTGGAGAGATACTGTTTAAAACAGACCCATAGACAGTGTGTGCACAGGCATGCAGTAGTGGGTTTGTGGAGGTTTTGGTCAGGCCAGGGCAAATCAGAGATCCAAATTCATGTAGGTTCCTGGGCCTTGTTAACCAGGCTAGGCCTCGAAGCTACTCTGGCAGGTGAATAGGAACCTATAGGTAGGCTTGATGGGGAGAGAGCCCTGGCCTTTCTAGGGACAGCAGCAGAGCTCCCAGGTTCTGGATGCTCTCTCAGCTTTTCTCAGAATGGCTGAATTGGGAAGGGTCAGGGTGGGAGTGAGGGGTGGGATGCAGAGGAGTTGAGAGAAAAGAGGAAATGGAGGAAGAGGAGGAGGCGGAGCAGGGCCTGGCTGGGGACTAGGTCCACAGTGGCCAAAGACTATCCAACACTCCCTTAGCCAGAGCCGCCTCCACTCTGCTCCTTGGCCCCATGGGGCCCCACGTACCATCCTGGCTGATGCCTGAGCCCACCATGGTCTCGTGACCACTGTCAGGGGCAGCAGCAGAGGCAGCAGCCCTGGTGGAGCGCCCCTCCGTGGGCTGTGGGCGGGCACGGCTCTTGCGGGTACTGATGCGAATGATGCCGCGGACAAGGCGGCCCTCAGCATCCTGCTCATCCAGGTGGTAGTCCTGTGTGATGCTGCTGATAAGGTCCGAGATTTTACTGGTTTTCTCCAGGAACACAGTGTCTGATGTGCACTTGGCCAGCTCATCAATCTGGTGTACACTGAACAGCTCTGTCAGCTTCTTGAAAATGAGCACGTCGATCTCCCGGCTTGACATGGAGCCACTGCCCATCTCCGGCAGGTCCAGGTCCGACTCATGGAAGGAGTAGTACTCCTCTGAGCCCCGGGGACTGCTGGCAAGGGTGCTAGGCAGGCTATGCCTCGTGGGTGGGGGGTCAGCCAGTAGCTCCTTGCAGCAGGAGTCTGCATCAGGGGCTGAGGAGGCGGTGCTGCGGTGGGGATACACAGGGATGCCTTTGAACTTAACATCAGGATAGCTGAAACTACTGCCCATGGTTGACTTGAGCCGCTGGCCATCCCGCTGGCTGGGGGGTGCGTGGTTGGGGCTAGGAGGCACCCCATTGTGCTCCTTGGCCCAGGTGGCTTCGGCAGCCTCCTCAGCAGAGTCCCTGGCAGACAAGCAGGGGCCGCAGCCCTGCATACAGGCTCCAAAGCGCTGGAGGCAATCCCAGCAGCGACGGAAGCAGAAGGCAGCCCTGCACCAGTCCCACACCCAAGGTCGCCAAAGCAGACAGCAGGCAGGGGGCTCAGCAGCTGCTTCAGCAGAGCCAGAGATGAAGGTGAGGCTCTCAGGGCCATGGCGACCAGGGTCTTTGGGGTCTGGCCTGCGGGTACGGCGGCTTGGAGGGGGTTGAGGTGGCTCAACGTATGCTTGCAGGCATTGCTCTGTTGGCCGCTCCCAGGGTCCTAAGCGGGGCGGCCCGGATAATGGGCGAGAGTGTCCGGGACGGGGCATTGTTCATTGCATGGTTTGCTGTAACCAGGCACCTGTGGGGAAGAGAGCAGGAAAGTGTAAGGATCAAAGGTCAGGGGCAAGCTCCTGGACTGCCCTGAGAAGCTTCAGACTATTGGTTTCTGAGAGGCCTGGGATGTGGATGGACTCAAGTATGCCCATAAACCCCGAACTATTGTGCTCCTCCCTCCCCAAAGTCAAAGTCCTCTCCCTGGTCTAACCTGGATTTCAAACTCTCCTGGGATCTTATCTTGTTTTCTGGGGGAATGGTCTTCTCTAGTTCCTCGCCACTGTTGGTGAGCACAGTGCAGAGCCTCTGAGGCAGCTCAACAAGTGCCTTTCCATATAAGGGATCATTACCCCCTTCCCTTCCTTTCCATCCTCTTTTAAATCAGATACGGAATGTAACAGACCTCCTGCCAGTATTTCAGTCTGGCTCAGACTTGCTTTCCTTTTAACATTGAACACCAAGCACTGTTTTGCTTCCTTTGATTAGACAGGAAAGCTGAGTCACAAAATAGATTTTCTTTCCCTTTTTGACTTGGTTGCCAGGAAGCTCAGAGCTAAAACTTCATTCATTCCATAAATACTAAGTTTGGCCCTGTTTGAGGTTGAAGAACCAATGATGAATAAGTTATAGACCCAGTTCTTCATGATTCACACATGGCTTTGTAGGGCAAATTGACAAAGTGGAACGTGTAGGACATGATGTTGTTGTTGTTGTTAAGTGTCGTTGAATTGGCTCTGACTCATCGTGACCCTATGTACCATAGAATGAAACACTGCCCAGTCTTGTGCCAGCCTTACAGTCCTTGCTATACCTGAGCCCATGGTTGCAGCCACTGTGTCAATCCATCTCCTTGAGGGTCTTCCCCCTTTTCACTGACCCTCCTTTTTTCCAAGCATGATATCCTTCTGCAGGGACTGGTCTCTTCTGACATGACCGAAGTAGACGAGACAAAGTCTGGGCATTCTCGCTTCCAAGGAGCATTCCAGCTGCACTTCTTCCAGAACAGATTTGTTACTTCTTCTAGTCCATGGTACTTTCAGAATTCTTTGCTAACATGATAACTGAAAAGCATCAACTCTTCTTTGGTCTTCCTTATTCATTGTCCAGCTTACATGCATATGAAGTGACTGAAAATACCATGGCTTAGGTTGTTGCTGTTATGTGCCATCGAGTCGGACCCGACTCATAGCAACCCCTCCTTGGGTTTCTGAGGCACTATCACTGCGGAAGTAGATTGCCCCATCTTCCTTCCAAGGCTGATGGGTTTGAACCGCCAGCCTTCTAGTTAGAAGTCAAGTGCTTTAGGCACTATGCCACCTTAGTCTTCAAAGAGACATCTTCGGTCTTCAGCACTTTAAACGGGTCTTTTGCAGCAGATTTGTCCAGTGCGATATATTGTCTGCTGTCTTAACTGCTGCTTTCATTGGTGTTGACTGTGGAGCCAAGCAATATGAAATCTTTGACAACTTCAATCTTTTCTCCATTTATTGTGATGCTGCTTATTGGTCCAGTTGTGAGGATTTTTGTTTTCTTTATGTTGAGGTGTAATCCGTACTGCAGACTGTAGTCTTTAATCTTCAGTGCTTCAAGTCATCCTCACTTTCAGCAAGCAAGGTTGTGTCATCTACATATCACAGGTTAATGAGTTTTCTTCCAATCCTGATGCTGTGTTCTTCATATAGTCCAACTTCTCAGATTATCTGCTCAGCATACACTGAATAAATATGGTGTGAGGATACAACCCTGACACACTCCCTTCCTGATTTTAAACCATGCAGTATCCCCTATGTTCTGTTCGAATGACAGCCTCCTGGTCTATATACAGGTTCCTCATGACCACACTTAAGTGTTCTGGAATTCCCATTCTTCTCAATGTTATCCATAATTTGTTATGATAGTACACCAAACAAAAACCAAACTCACTGCCGTTGAGTTGGATCTGACTCAGAGCGACCCCTCCTTGGGTGTCCAAGGCAGTATCACTATGGAAGTAGATTCCCCAACCTTCCTTCTGAGGAGTTGCTGGTGGGCTTGAACTGCCAGCCTTCTGGTTAGCAGTGAAATGCCTTAGGCACTAGGCCACCAGAGCTCCCTTATGATATGTTGTTGTTGTTAGGTGCCGATGAGTCACTTCCGACTCATAGCGACCCCATGCACAGCAGAACGAAACACCACCCGAACCCGTGCCAGCTCCATGATCCTTGATCCCTTATCCATGATCCCTTATGATATAAGAGTAAATAAATCTCCCTGAGGGAATTGGAAGATTATGCATTTGTGTATTTTGGAGAGGCCTTGAACACATGTAAATTTTGCTGGGCAGTAACTCTTCTTAGCCTGGATTTTCTGGGACATCAATCTCTTATCTTTTTATCCCTAACTTAATGGCACTGGGATCCTGGGACTGATGCTGTGTGAGGAACCTGCGAGTTAGGATATCTGGGTTCTAGTTCCAGTTCTGGCACTTAGGCAAATCAATGCTACCTCCCTAAACCAGGTCACTACTATCTCTCACCCAAATTCTCTCAAGACCCCTATTCTGGCCACCTTTATTCCCTTCTATTTGCTGCAGCCAGTGAAAACTTAAAACACACACAAATTCTGCCCTTCAGGTCTGGAATTGAACCCACACCCATGCGTCCAGCCAAACAAAAGACAGGCATATGAGGTGAACATTTATACTAAGTAGATACACCCCTGGGAGAGAACAATCATGGAAGAATAGAAGGGCCGTGCATGTACAGGGACATAGCTCAGGGGGCAGGAGTGCATGGAGGGAAGGACACAGGGAAGAGGTAACTGTAGGGAAGAAGTGGGAGGGGATCTGTTGCATTGTGGGAAATTGCAGCCAATGTCATGAGACAACATGTTTGTGAACTGCTGTATGGAAAGTGAATTTGCTCTGTAAACTTTCACCCAAATTACAATAAAAAAAATAAATAAATAGAACACACACACAAATTGGGAGAAACCTGGCAGACAACACTTTAATCAAGCGATCATAGTTAATATCATCAAGACATTATGTGCTTCCTGATACAACTCACTAAGAAAGAAATACTTATGAGGGAATAAATGGAAATGGGATAATTGGTAAAATTTGAAAACAGACTAATACATCAATAAGGAGCTCTGGTGGTGCAGTGCCTAAGGCATTTGACTGCTAACCAGAAGGTTGATGGTTCAAATCCACCAGCCACACTGAGGAAGGAAGACAGGGCAATCTATTTCTGTAAAGATTTACTGCCTCAGAAACCCAGTGGGGGTCACTATGAGTCAGAATCAAGTTGGTGGCAGTAGGTTTGGTTTGGTTTTTAACATATCAATGTTAAATTTTCTGAATTTGGCCAAACAAAAGACAGGCATATGAGCTGAACATTTACATTAGGTAGCTCACTCCTTGGAGAGAACAATCATGGGAGAATAGAAGGGCTGTGTAAGCACAGGGAGACAGCTCTGGGGTCAGAAGTACACCGAGGGAAGGACACAGGGAAGAGGTAAGTATGGGGAGGAAGTGGGAGGGAAGCTGTTGCATCGTGGTAAATTGTAGTCAATGTCATGAGACAAAGTGTATGTGAGCTGCTGCATGGAAAGTGAATTTGCTGTGTAAACTAACCTAAATCACAAATAAAAATAAATAAATAAATTTCTGAATTTGATTACTGTGGTTACAGAAGATAATGTTCTTATTCTTAGGAAATACACATTGAAGCATTTAGAGGTCAAAAGGTACTATGTCTGCAACCTAATGTCAAATGGTTAAAAAATACTAAGTTATGTGTATACAGTGAGAAAAAGAAGAGGGAGGGGAATGTTAACCACTGGTGAACTGGGATGATGATGATACAGGAGTTTCTTAACTATCCTTGCAATTCTTCAACCTACTCCCCAAGTCCCATTAAGGACCTAAGCACCCCTTCTCCAAGGACCCTCTAGAGCCCCTAGGTTAGATGGAAGTCCCTCTTGCCCCCACCCCAAGCTTCCACTGGGCTCTGTTAGCTGGGTTAGCCTTTTACTCATTGTTTGTAGATATGGCTATCTCCTCAAGGACCATTACCCCAAGAGGCAGGGGGCTGTATCTGATTCCCTTCTGCCTCATTGCCTGGAACAAGTTTGGGTACAGCAGGTGCTTCAGGGGACTAACACGGTCTGTGTGACTTCAAGGGTAGAGCCAGGACCTTTGGGTGGGAAGAAAAAGGACTTAGACTCTAGGCTGACCAGAGTGGGGATCAACAGTTTTGCAAGGGGTAAGGGTGGGGGTGAGAGCCTATCTCCAAAGGTGTGTGAATGAAAACTGTTAATAGGTGACTTTAAAGGCCTTCACAACCCAGAGACGCAGTAGTTAAAAACTTTTGCCTTAGCTTGAGCAATGTTGAGGAAGGGGGATATGGATTCATTCATTCACTCAATTAACAAATATTTACTGAGGGTCTGCTGTGTGTCAGACACTCTTCTAAATTCTGTGGATGTAGTGGTAAAACAATTTCCTATTCTCAAGAGCTCCCACTCTAGTGAAAGAGTTAATTACTGATGGCTTACATTGTCCTAAGTGCTTTAGATTCAGTAACAACCCTATTTGTAGATATTATTATTGTTACTATACTAAGGCATAGAAAGGTTAAGTAACTTGTCCAAAGTCACACACCTGTTTATACCCAAGCAGCCTGGTTCCAGACTTTTCCATTCCTCCATTGGCATCTCTGAGAGGACAGAAGGATGAGGTGGGAGGGAAGGAGCCAGCTGTTGGCTCCACAGAGAAGCCTGTGACCAGGAGGGTCTACTTTGGTAGCCCTGAATTTTATGGGCTCAGCTCTGGATGAGGGTGAGGATTTCTACACTGTTTCCATCACACTGCGCTCTGGGGAACCTGGGGTTGGTAAGAGCATCAAAGGGTTACTGATATTGGGCTGGTCATGGGCTCCACTCCCATCCTCCAAGGCTGGAACACTCACTATTATTCATTTAATTATTCTGACAAATAGTTACTGAGCACCTACTACCATGTGCCCGATACTGTGTAAATGTTAAGGAAACAGAAAGCAGCTAATGGGCCAGAAACAGCCTCCAGACCAAGAGGACTTCAGCCTTAATGAAGCCTCACCATTGCTCTGTAAGTATCATCATCCCTACTTAACAGATCAGGAATCTGAAGCTCAGAACAGTGACAAGACTTGCCCAGAGAGCTGTAGTTGAAAAGCAGCAGGATCTGTATGGCTTTGTACCACACATCCAGCAGGGGCGGCATGATGGGGGTCAAGACAAGGGATGAGGACAGAGCCCAGTCTCAGATTTCCCCTTCCCCCTAGGCTTTAACCCCTCCTAAAGCCAAACCCAGGCCACACTTCCAGGCTACATCTCCCCTTCCCTGCTGTCCGGCCCCTAAAATCCTAGGAATACTGGTTACTTGGTTTAGTGAGGGAAGGGCCCCTACAAAAGGCCTGGGGCAAAACTCTTAGCCTCAATTTCCTTATCTCTAAAAAGGATAGAGAGAAGCATCTTCATAGGCCACAACGAGGCTTAAATGAGATATTGCTTGCAGGGCCTTAGTGTGGTGTCCAGCACGGGAGAGGGGATCAGACACTGGGCGCCCCAAGGCCCCGCACTGGTCTTCCCAGGAGTCAGACGGCCCAGGCCCGCCCTCCCCGGACTTCTCAATGATGCTCTCCCGTCCCCTCCCTTAATACTTGTGAACACTCACACACTTAGATGTCTGTCTCTGCACAGTCATCCCTTCCCAGGGTCCCCAGCCCTTTTCACGAAAACAACCGTCGGGTATGGCGCCGGGCATACGTACAACCTCGGTTTCCTGCCCCAAAGGCGCAGCGCGCGACTCCCCCATTCTAGAGTACCTAGTCCTAGCGACAAGGGAGAACCAGACCCCAGCAATGCCTCAGGGTAAACAAAGCCCCTACACCCGCACAGCCCTCGGAAGAGCACCACCCCTTCCAGCTGCTAGGGCCTCTGCCCGCGGGCGGACCCAGCCTCTCTCCCGCAGGACACTGTTCCTAGAGTGAGCATGGCCCCCGCCTCCACCTCGGCACTGTCCCCCCCGGCGGAAACGGCTCCTGCCCCAATCCAGCGCAGCCCTGAGGATCAGCACGGCCCTTCTCAGCCCTCTCTACCCGTCCAGCCCGGGCGCCCGCTCAGGCCGCTGCCGGGCCCAGCCCGCGCACCCCGGAAGTGGGAGAGTGGCTGGCGAGGAACGGGTCTCGAGACTTCCCCCTGCCCGAGCGCAAAGTCGGGGGGTCTTCCCCACCGGCCCAACCTGGTACGCGCCCCTTCGGGCCCGCACGGGGCTTACCTGTCCCGCCAGGTGAGCCGCCTCGGCCCCTCCTCCCGCCCCCCAACCGCTCACCTGGGGCCCAGGTGAGCGTCTCGCGGGAGCGCTGCACGGGATGCCGCTGGGGACACACTTCCTGCCTCCGCGAAGTGCTGCGGTGGCGGCCGCTCACCTGAGCCGAGGCCCCGCCCCCCGCGCTTGAAAGCTGGGCCTGCAGACTTGGAGCCCAACTCGGCCCAGTCGGAGTGAGGTTTTGCAGAGCCAGAAGGCCAGGCCCTGAGCCTCACTCTCCTCTTCTGATAGGCAGGTGGTCCTAGCGGTACCTGAGCTCCTGCGGAATGCTTGCCAAGCCTTAGAGACAGACCCATGTTAAAGGGATTGTCTCCTGGGAAGCCTTCCCTGAACCTGTCAGGTTCTCTGTTATAAAGAACAGTTCTCTGTACTTTGTCATAATACACACCGCACTGTTGTTATTATTATTATTTTGGTCTTCTGTCTCTTTCTTTAGCCTCTGACCTTGAAGACAGAACAGAATCTGGTCTTGGGCTATGTTCCTGGTTCCCAGCACAGGATGTGGCACATAGTAGGTTCTCAGCAAATATTCTCAATTGAAGGAATGGCTGGCCTGAGCTCTGGTTTCTTCTTTGCCCTGAGGCAGAACTGGGGGCCTGGATCCTCTACTCCCTGGGCAGTTCACCTTCTCCCTCTGTCCAGAAAATCTGCAGAGGTTGAAGAAAAGGTCCTCCTCACTCTGGGCTTTGAGCAGGGTGGAGGAGGGGCAGGGCTTGCAGCTCTAAGAGACACATTGGACAGATCGGCCAAGGCAGCCCATTGGACAGATCGGCCAAGGCAACCCCAAGCTGAAAAATCCAAACACCATTGACAGGAGAATGGATAAACCATGTGCAATATCCATGCAAAGGAATACTTATGGAATAGTAAAAAATAAACCACCACCCAGCTGTCAGTTTAACGCACTGTAATGCCTTACATGTTATTATGATGCCGGAAGCTATGCCACTGGTATTTCAAATACCAGCAGGGCCACCCATGGTGGACAGGTTCCAGAGGAGATTCCAGACTAAAACAGATTAGGAAGAAAGGCCTGATGATCTCCTTCTGAAAATTAGCCAATGAAAACCCTGTGGATCACAACAATCAGGAGGATGGCACAGGACCGGGCAATGTTTCCTTCTGTTGCACATGGGTCCTCCATGAATTGGAGCTGACTCGACAATTACTAAGAACAAAAAGAAAATGGATGAAACACAGCAACATGACTGGGTCTTGGTAATAAATTGGATGAAAAAAAAACAAGTCCCAGAAGATGATATACAAAAGGATATCCTTTTTACAAAGTTCAAAAAGAACTAAAAATACTACTAGGTATAATATTAGGTTGAACCATATGAAATTGCTGTTATTCAACCTGTTTTGACCTACAAAAATGGTAAATGGTTCAGCCTAATTTATAGCTGAAAAACTATGCCTCTCCCCGCCCCCCCAAAAAAAGAACAAGGGAATAAGGCACACAAACTTCGCAATAGTGGTTACCTCCTGGGGGAGGCAGGGATAAGGGAGGGGCCCACAGATATATTTGATTTTTAGGAATGTTCTAGTTCTTAGGTTGAGTGGTAGATTCAAAGACTTTCTCATTATCAGGAATGAATGAGAAAATAGAAATTTATGCTTAAATTTTCAATAGTTAAGGGTACTGTCACTTGCAAAGTTCCCAACATATGCAAATGTGTGACTGAGTCTAGAGTCTTATTTGTGCTCTTCTCCATTCATTTATTCATTTTTTAAAAAACAAGTATAAGTTACATACAGTAACATTCATCTTTTTCAGTGTAGGGTTCTATGAGTTTTGAGAAATGCATACAGTTGCAAACCACTACCACAATGAAGACGTAGAATAGTTCCATCACCCAAAAATACTCTCCCAGACCCCTGTGTGGTCAATCGTGCCCCTCAACCCTGTTGTTGTTGTTAGGTGCAGTCGAGTCAGCTCCATCTCATAGCGACACTATGTACAACAGAACGAAACACTGTCTGGTGCTGTGCCAGCCTCACAATCCCTGCTGTACCTGAGCCCATCATTGCAGCCACTGTGTCAGTCCATCTCATTGAGGGCCTTCCCCTTCTTCATTGACCCTCCACTTTACCAAACATGATCTCCTTCTCCAGGGAATGGTCTCTTCTGACAATATGATCAGTCATGACCTTGTCTGACCATTCTCCCTTCCAAGGAGTATTTCGGCTGAACTTCTTCCAGGATAGATTTGTTCATTCTTCTGGCAGTCCATGGTACTTGCAGTATTCTTTGCCAACACCACAACTCAAAAGCATCAACTCTTCTTAAGTCTTCCTTATTCGTTGTCCAGCTCTCACATGCATATGAGATTGAAAATACCATGGCTTGGGTTAGGTGCACCTTAGTCTTCAAAGAGATTTTTTTTCTCTTCAGCACTTGAGAGAGATCTTTTGCAGTAGATTTGCCCAGTGCAATAAGTCGTCTGATGTCTTGACTGCTGTGTCCATTGGTGTTGACTGTGTAACCAAGCAATATGAAATCTCTGACAACTTCAATCTTTTCTCCGTTTATCGTGATGCTGCTTATTGGTCCAATAGTGAGGATTTTCATTTTCTTGATGTTGAGATGTAATGCATACTGCAGACTGTAGTCTTCAATCTTCATCAGTAAGTGCTTCAAATCATCCTCACTTTCAGCAAGCAAAATTGTGTCATCTGCGTATCGCAGGTTGTTAATGAGTTTTCCTCCAATCCTGATGCCACGTTCTTCTTTATATAGTCCAGTTTCTTGGATTATTTAGCATATAGATTAAATAAGTATGGTGAAAAGATACAACCCTGACACACTCCTTTCCTGATTTTAAACCATGCAGTATCCCCTTGTTCTGTTAGAATGACAGCCTTCTGGTCTATGTACAGGTTCATCATGAGCACAGTTAAGTGTTCTGGAATTCCAATTCTTCTCAATGTTATCTGTAATTTGTTATGATCCACACAATCAAATGCTTTTGTATAGTTAATAAAACACAAGTAAACATCTTTCTTGTATTCTTTGCTTTCAGCCAAGATCCATCTGACATCAGCAATGATATCCCTCATTCCACATGCTCTTCTGAATCCAGCTTGCATTTCTGGAAGTTCTCTATCAATATACTGCTGCAACTGTTTTTTAATTATCTTCAGCAAGATTTTACTTGCATGTGATATCAGTGATATTGTTCAATAATTTCCACATTCTGTGGGATTATCTTTCTTTAGCATTATCTCTTCTAGTCAGTTGGCCAGTCAGTCTTCCAAATCTCTTGGCATAGCTGAGTGAGTGCCCCAGCATGGCATCTGTTTGTTGAAATATCTCAATGGGTATTCTATCAGTTCCTGGAGCCTTGTTCTTCACCAATTCCTTCAGTGCAGCTTCAACTTCTTCTTTCAGTACCATTGGTTCTTGACCATATGCCACCTCCTGAAATGGATGAACATCAACCAATTTTTTTTGGTGACTCTGTGTATACCTTCCATCTTCTTTTGATGTTTGCAGCATCGTTCAATATTTTGCCCATAGTATCTTTCAATATTGCAACTCGAGTCTTGAATTTTTTCTTCAGTTCTTTCAGCTTGAGAAATGCCGAATGTGTTCTTTCCTTTTGGTTTTCCAACTCCAGGTCTTTGCAACCCTAGCCCTCAACCCTAGCCTTGGCAAATACTGATTTTTATTTTGGCTCCATAGTTTTGCTTGTTCCCAAACTTCTTTAGTTTTAAAATTGCAGAGTTGTACTCTAAAAATTCTAATTCTGTGTTATCTCAAATGCTATAGATTCATAATATATAATAATACTTAAAGAGCTCTGGTGGCTTAGTGGATAAGGCATTTGGCTGCTAACCAGAAGGTCAGTGGTTCAAACCCATCAGCTGCTCTGGAAGGAAGGTGGGGAGATCTACTTCCATAAAGATTTACAGCCTTGGAAACCCAGTGAGGGTTGCTGTAAGTCAGAATTGGCAGTTTTTTTTTTTTTTTTTTTTTAATTATATATAGTGTACACTTCATGTTTGTGGTTATAAAATAAAATTACTATGATGGCTGAAATATCTCGGTTACGTTATCTAGAGAGAAAAAGAAAGGAGGGAAGTAGGAAGAGAGAGAGGAAGGAATGAAGGGGAAAGGAAGGAAAAAAGAAGGCAGGGGAGGGATAAAAATAGAGGGAAAGAAAGAAAAGAAGGAAGAAAGGAAGGAGGGAGGGAGGGAGGGAAGGAAGGAAGGAAAGAAAAAGAAAGCTACTGTATCTGAATTTCTGCCGGCACTTTCTGGTGTGTGAGGAAGCTGTCTCTGGAGCCCCAACCCTGCCCCTCACTAGCTGTGTGGCCTTAGACAAGTCACTTCCCTTCTCCTCATCTGTGAAATGAGGATGATAATATTTTCCCTCCAAAGTGTTTTGTGGACTGTTTTGCAATAGGCACAAGTTGTTGTTGTTGTTGTTGTTATGCGCCATCGAGTCGTACCCGACTCATAGTGACCCCTCCTTGGGTTTCCGAGGCGGCATCACTATGGAAGTAGATTGCCCCATAGCTGTGATTGTTCTGATTACTATCCACTGAAACCCACTCCCCCCGCCTTCACTGGAAGACACTGGGTACTGCCTAGAACCTGCCACAGTCCATGGTCAATAACTCTGTCAGAAACCAATGACATGAAAAAGTTTTGGAAGTAAGTAGTGGTGATGGTTGCACAAAATTATGAATATAAATAATACAACTGAGTTGTACATTTAAAACCAAACCAAAGTCACTGCCATGGAGTCGGATCTGACTCATAGTGACCCCTCCTTGAATTTCCGAGGTGGTATCACTACAGAAGTAGATTGCCCAACCTTCCTTCCGAGGAGTGGCTGGTGGGTTTGAACGGCCGGCCTTCTGGTTAGCAGTCAAATGCCTTAGGCACTATGCTGCCAGAACTCCTAGTTTTACAGTTAGGAAAGGTTAAAATGGTAAATTTTATTTATACATATTTTACACACAAAAACCAGTGAGGCTGGATGAAAACAAAAACAAC